GAAAGACGAAAAAGCAAGGACACTGATGCAATTTCCTACCGATCCCGATCTCCCGCAATTGGCCCAACCTTCCCAACTGAGGACCCCTCATTGCATCGGCGCAGAAAGTCGCGCGTTACTGAAAGTGGTACGTCACATATGTGACACCCAGGGGGTTCCAATTTTAGCAAGCTCCTGCTTGCTTGTTGACATGTGTCGATTTCTCTGATCGATCGACACGCGGAGCATCTGTCTCTATGCCACTTAACGTTCAATTGAGTGTGGACGTCATCCGACATGGCAACACTGCTTTTCTACTAATTCCTTAGTGTGGGCTTTTCGACATTCCAAGGAGGGGGATTACACGTGCCGCTGTTATGACACGTGTCCATTAGCCATGCATCAGTGCAACAGGAGGGTAGACCCTAGACCCTAGACGTTCCTGGGAAATGGCAGTCAAATCATCGAGGGTGGAGGTGGCGGATGGTTCAAGGGGAGAGGGGGCATGAATCGATTGATGGCGGGAGAGGCGAATTCAGGAAGGCTAGCGTAGTGGAAGGAGCGATGGATGTGGGGGAAGCGAGGGACCTCATGAAGATGGCGGAAGGCGGCGATGTAGTCGGGTAGATGGTAGAAAGGCTCCGTCGCAGGGCGGCGCGAAAATCTTCGTAGTTTTCGCTGGCGGGAATAGTTCCGAATATAATACAGTATATCTCTACATGGTTATATTCCCGCCAATCTTCGCTAAACAGGATTAAGTGAAGGAGAAAGGAATCAACTGCAGAGCGGGTGGTGGCATGCGGATAAATGGAGACTAGAAGGCGGGTAGCGTAGAGATGGTAGAAGAGGTGATGGGGAAAAGGACACCAACCATCGGGGAACGGGGGTCTATCGGGAAGACGGGTAAGCATGATGTAGTCACGGGGTCGGCGAGAGAACGACCGAGGACGAAGCCCGAACGCCGAGATCTTGATGTAGACGAATGGAGGATTGGGACGGGGAGCCGAAGGGAGCTGGCGATTCACTTCTTCTTCTTCTGCTTCGTGATCCCTCTGCTGCGGTTCCATCGTCTTCTTCTTCTGGCGGCTCTGGATCACGCCACGGGTCCCCGATCGACGGATCGACAGGGGAAACGTTTGTCGTGGGTCGTTCTCCCTCCGCGGTCTCCAGGCGCTTTCGTTTCCTTTGCTCTTGCGATCGTTCTCGAGCCGCGTCACGCACCTCAGCCTCGAATCCTTCGTACTCCGACTCCGCTTGCTTGTTTCCTTCTTCTTCTTCCTCGTCTCGTTCCGCCTCTTCCTCCTCTTCGTTTGCTTCCCCTATCTCCTCGTCCGGCGCCGCGTTTATCCTCGCAATCGGATCCCAAAACGTGAGATCGGTAACGTCGATCTCCAAGTAGAGCGCCTATGAGGGATAGAGACAGTTATCCTCGTCAATCTCCGTACACGTGGACCACACAAGGTGCGGCTCGAGCGTTCGAGACAGCACGTGGGTACAAGGCTGCGTGTCACTGCGTGACACGATGTCCAGGGGCAGATCGTCCACCAGCTAAGTCAAAAACACCAGCAATTCGTCCGTGATCAAGGTGAGATTACCTTCCTCCACCTTCCTGAACACAATTCCCAGCAGATTGCCCTGCTCCGCCGTTCTCCAGTCTTGGATGATCAGAAATTCCACGCTGTCTTCTGGGTGCTCCGGTCCTTGTCCGAACGGGGCCGCTTATGACCAGCGAAACTCTATCTCCAATAGGCAGAAAGCGAGCTCGGCATAATTCTCCCACCATGCGTCCCACTTCTCCTCGCTCAATAGTGGTGCACTGTTCTCCTTAATACAGTAGGAGAGAGTGGGAGCCCGCGCAGACTGCCAAAGGGTGGGGATGCTGGAGGGGAGGCCGAAGTAGGAGACGCGACGATGACTCATTGGGGCGGCGCGAAGGGATGAAGCTTCGGGAGCACGATCGCTGGCGAGTTTTGAGACGAGCGGAGCTGGAGGTCCGTGTCATGCGCCGACACGATGGTATCCCCTCGTCGAGCCAGGAGATCGGTCCACGCTGTCCACACTTCTCCAGCCCAGGTGCGCAACGTCCGATAGATGTCGGAATGAATCTCCGACGGAATTGCTGTGATATCTCCTGTAAAGACGACGACGACGACGACGACGATATGGCTAATCCCAGGAAGGGATAGCCGTCGAGAGGCCGAGATCTCGGCCAGAACGCGCGTAGTTGCCTCTTCCGTGAATCGAAACACTGCCGCCACGTAGATCGCAGACGTACTGAAGAAAGCTGCAAACCGGAGGAGATCAGAGCAGAGATGGGGCCGCTGCACCTGCCGTATGACGCTGATTCGCCCCCGCGGAGTGAGAAGCCACGCGTCGATCACTTGCTCCGTTGCAAAGCTCATGGCGATGGTGACGGGGTAATAGAGAGAAAAGGAGACAGAGAGATAGGAGAGAGGTAGTCGTCGCCTTCTTCCGCAGCGGAGGAGGAATCAAATGAGTGTGAAGATGGAGAAGGAGGAAGGGGACGGAGGTAGGACATGTGGCGGATGATCGGACGAGCCGATCTGCTGTCGGAGACCTCAGGCGGAAGTCGCACGGTGTTCACGCCGTTTGGTCCGAGTTCGATCATGCGAAATCGTCCGAAGAATCGTGGCGCTAGCTTACCCTGGCGAGCACATTTCCTCACCTGCACGATGTCCCCTAATTTGTATTGGGACCGTGGTCCTGCGTTCCCATTCTGGGCCTCGTAGCTTCGGACCTGTCGTCCCTGGGCCAATTCGGTCATTCTTTGCCGTTTTCTGGCTAGCCTGGGCAGGGACCGTTCCATTAGTTCCAAGTGTCGTTTGGCCTTGTCTCGAGTCGTGGCCCTGGTGGGTCGTCGGTTCAGTGTGGATTCATCCGGTAGGCTTGGTATCGAAACGCAAGCAACGCTTTTGGTCCTTAATTGGAAGGGGCTTAGCCCCGTCGATTCATGAGGTGTACCGCGATGGCCCGCCAGGATGTGGTCGACGATATCGGGCCAGGGCCTCGTATCCCGTGCCGCGATATTCCGTCGCAACGCTGTCTTTATTACCCCGTTCGCTTTTTCTACCAGCCCATTGGACTATGACATGTGGGGTGCAGTGTTTCGTATAGCGACGCCATGTATGACCAGATTCCTCAACACCTCTCCCCTAAATTCAGCCCCGTTACGGTCAGGATCTCTTCCGTGTTCTAGTGCATCCCGAGAAAACGGTTGACGTATCGCGCGATTTCGGCGGCTTGTCGCGTGCGACAAGGGTAGGCCTCGATCCATTTCAAAAAGTGGTCGACAAATACCAATAGGACTGAATACCCACAACTATTAGGGCCAGGGGGCACCACTATGTCGGTAGTGTCCATGCTGACTCTTTGAAATGGTTGTTCAACTACCGTTGGCACTATCTATCTTGGCGGCTGAATCGGCGCCTTATCAGCGGCGCAGACTTGACAGTTGGCGAGATATATTCACATCGTCGCGGATATTGGACCAGTACCACTCATTTTTGTCGATAACCGACTCTGTAATCCGTACGGCGAAATGAGCTGCAGTTTCTTCATGTGTCGTCTTAACCCAGTCATACCTCATGAACGGATGCGGTACAACCATCCAAATCCCACTGCCGTTTGTTTTCCATTTTTCTAATTTGCCCTCTATCCATCTGTAATCCCGAGTCCTCTCGTTGGCCCTCCTCCAATCTTCCTTGGTGAAATCCTGAAGGGGGTTGCCAACCAGGGTGGCAATTAAGGCAATATCAGTCCATACTTCGGCCCTTCTAAACCTCCGGGTCTTTTCCAACCCTTCCGACGTGGCATCTGAAAAGCGAGCCTCGGTCGGAATCTTGTCAGTCCGACATAAGGGGCACAACCACGGTTTACTATCGTTTTTGTATTGGATGCACAGGCCATGGGCTCGTGTGACACACTGTTGACAATCTATCCAGTCCGCATACCCTTCCCCGTTAGGGCGCATGGAGACTGAGTACACGCGGGAGATAGCTTCGCAAAAATAGCAAAATTTGTCAGGCAGGGAGAGGAGAGACGAAGAGGAAAGGGGAGAGAGAGGGGTAGTGGGGTTACCTCCACCACCCATTGCCACCGTTTTGCTTCTTGCCACGTGGGAGAAGTGCCACTTGTCCTTACTTAGGGTCGTTGGTCAAGTGCGACTCTTTCTACGGTCTGATTTCCTCGCCCTTTGGTACCTTGGCAGGTCGATGCAGACGGGTCAGTCCGTCCGCGTTGCCGTGTCGCTCTGTCTTTCGATGGACGATATCGAAGTGGTATTCTTGTAGTGGCACCGCCCAACGGCCAATCATGTCCGTGTAATTGGTGAGCTTCTTCAGCGCCAGCAAGAGTTCGTGATCTGTTACGAGGCGAAACTTTTGTCCGTAGAGATACGGATGGAAGTACTGGATTCCCCAGACTACTGCATAGCATTCGCCTTGAGGTGCTGAGTCATTCTTTTGCTCGTCCGGTACCGTGCGTGACGCGTATTCGATGAGGTGTTCACGACCATCGTTCCCCTTCTGCGCTAAACTAGCGGAGATAGCTTCTGGTTGCCAGTCCGTGATGAGAATGAACTGTTTTGAGGGGTCCGCCCGCATCAAAATAGGGGCCGTCGCCGAGGCATCCTTGAGAGTTGCGAAAGCTTGTTGGCACTCCGCGTCCCAGCTGAGAGGCTGGTCCTTCTGTAGCAGGTTCGTTAACGGTCGCGCAATCGCGGCGAAGCCCTTGATGAACCGACGATAGTACGACGCCAACCCCAAGAAGGCTCGCACCTGCGTCAGCGATGCGGGAACTGGGGCTTCTCTTACCGCCGCAACCTTTCTTGAGTCCGGTCGTAGTCCTCCACGTCGACATAGCCCAAGAAAGAAATTTCCGAAAGGAAATATTCGCTCCTTTCGAGTGCAATCTTGAATCCAGCGTCTTTCAACGCTCCCAATGTCCACTCGATGTGTTGTGCATGCCCGTGATAGGTCTCCGAGTAGACAAGGATATCGTCCATGTACACGATCACGTAGAAGTTGACCATCCCTTGTGTTAGCCGCGTCTTGTTGACGAAGTTATGGAATGTCATATTCATTGCTCGCTGAAACGTGGCAGGCGCGTTGCAAATCCCCATCGGATACCAAACCCACTGCCACGTGCCTTCAAACAGTACAAAGGCCGTCTTCGGCCGATCTTCCTCCTTCACCAGAATATGATGGAAACCATGCCGAATATCAAATTTGGTAAAATAATTGGCGCAACCAATCGCATCCAACAAATCATCAATCCGGGGGAGGGGATACACATCTTTAATCGTGATTTCATTCAACTTGCGATAATCGCTGCATGTGCGAATTGATCCGTTTTTCTTTGGTACTAATACCACGGGAAACGACCATGGTCCGGTGGCGGGTTGTATCCATCCGCTGGCGTCAAATTCCCGAATATGTTCGATGGTCTTTTTGCGCTCTATCAGGGAGTATCGATATGGCTTGCAGTGGATCGGGGAGTGATTCCCCGTCCGTATTTCATGTTGAATGACTAGCAATAGGCCAATGTCAGTGTCTGTTACGCTAATCGCTTCTCGATACTCCGTCAAGATGTCCGCAATCAACCGCTGAATCTCATCGGGTACGTACTGTGGCACGTGTAACTCAAAGAGTTGGTCCCAGATCCGTATGTCTATCTGTTTTGTGCGTGTGGGTTTTGCCACGTCGGGCGGGGGTGCAGAAATGAAGGAATGGTCCGATCGCTAGGAGAACACCGTGGCCATCATCTGGGCGTCTTCTTCCCGAATGGCCACGTGTCCTTCTGGGGTGATTCCGTCACAGATATCCTGCCATGGTACGGTTTTGGTTGTGATTTTTACTCCAAGTTCATTTAAGTCAGCTTCAAAACGCCCAGGGGGTTCCAAAGAATTGGCTTCTGCCCCCAGGCGCAACAGTGACACTTCTTTTGCAGGTGTCAAGAGGGACCTTGGTAGATCCGTATTGTCGCAATAATGCTTTTTGTCGCTGTATTGGGAGAGAAGCGGGGTGATTCCTTCATACAGGGTTTGAGGGGATTCCAAAGAATCGACCATCCTCGAAATCTGCACGAGGCGTTCACCCGAGATCATCGCCTTGGTCTTTTGAACGTTCCTACTGGTCAGATGCATCGTTCTTGCTATCGTTCTGGGTGGCGGGTAGTAAATGCGCTGTCGTGCTAGCTTCGAGATTTCCGGATCATCCTTATCACTACTGTCCGCATCATTTGTCGATGACTTCCCATCTACGGATTCTTCCCAGGAGATCATACGGAGAGTCCCAACCATCATCTGTGAAACCCGTGGGACTGCGTTGATAATGGTACGAAGGGTTAGCCTCATAGTTACAGCATAGGGCTTTCCTCCTGTATTTCGGAGGACGATCGATCGTCGTTCGAAATCCAGGTTTGTTCGTAATGCCACAAGAGAAGGAAGTCCGAAAAGAACGTCGTAGGTATTCACATCTTATACGACAACATCTCCCAATGCATGCACCTTTCCTAATCGAAAAGCGACATTGGTCATCCTTCCTACTGTTTTAATATTTTCTTCGTCATCCGAAAGGAGCTGATCTTTCTCGGAAAGCATGATCAAATCATTTTTCCTACTTGCCCTTTCGACCACTCTTAGTGAAATAGCCAACACAGCCGCTCCCGAATCTATAATTGCGTTGTAAGGAATTCCCAAAATTTCAATATCACATTCTGCGGATTTTCACGGGATGGGTTTAATCCGTAGGAAATGATCGTCTTTCTTGATTAACCCTACCCGAATTGGATCCGACGGGCCAACTGGGTTTTCCTCGGGCGCGGGGTTTTTAGACTTTACGTTCGGTATTCGGGCGAGGGCCAATCGTTTTCGGTTCGCCTTGCAGTGTTGTAGCATTCGCTCATTAGCTTGTTCCGAGATTGAAAGCAAATGATTGATCGAAAGTGGGATCCGATGGTTCAAGGCTCAAACGATGCTAAGCACATCGATTTCCCCAGTGACGAAGGTGGGTCCCCCCGACTCCATCTCTCCTGGAAAAGGTCGCTTCTCTGCCACCTCTTTCAGTTCTTGTGCTGGTCTGATCGTTCTGATCATTCCAAGCCTGGGATAACCAAGTGATACGTACTGATCTAACGGGATTAGCTCGGCAGCCTCTTCCGTGGTGGCTAGGGCACTTCCCCCACCCTCTACTTCTTTCATTAAAGCTCCGACTCGTTCTGGTCCATTAGCGATGGGGGCCGCGGCCATCGGCGCTGCCCCGATCCGCGGTTGCGGGGGTCGGTGGGGGCAATCACGGGCTAGATGTCCTGGCTGATGACAGGCATAACAGACATTCAGATTGTTCGCGGCTCCCCCGAGAGCAGGTGTCGGGGCTAATCCTTGCTGCATCGGAGGGGCGCGCACCGCAATGGGCCACATGTTCCTCATCATGGCTTCTAGCCGAGCATTGTGCTCTCGCTGCTCCTTCTTGCTTTCCTGGATTAGACTTATTAATGTTTTGGTTACTTCGAATATGGCCGTTGATTCGCTCCATCGTAAGGGAGCCTCAATTGGTGGCGGGGGTAACGCCCTTACGGGTGTGGGTATCACAGGAGCGGAGGTGCTCAGAATCTCACTTAGGGTCAGTCGTTTGGGGCCTATCTGTTCCATATAGGTGACCGGTCTTGATACAAACCCCATATTTTCAAACTTGTTCTGTAATGCAGCCAGCTCAGCTTTCGCTCGTGCGAGCTTGGTCGAATCTCCTTCTCTAAGATAATCTTCTCCTTCCAGGAAGTTCGTCGCGAACTTCCATTCCATTTCTTTCGCAACAGCCATGATTTGTTGTAGCGTGTGAGTGATGGGGGAAAATTGCTTTCGCAACTTTTCCCTTATTGTTCGGCTGCGAAGCCCATCAATGAACAGATCTCTCCTTACTTGCTCACCTCGCTCAGTTTTCACAAACATTCTGTAGAACCGGTTCTGATATTCTGCAACGGATTCAAGAGGTTTTTGCACTCGGTCCTTGATCATCTACAGCGCTTGCTTGGGGTGAACATAATCAAATCGATTCATGAAATCCCGTTCGAAGGTCGGGAGATTAACCCATACATAGGTACTAAACCCATGATAAGCGTCTCCTCTTATTCGAGCCGGAATGTTGATCTGGGCTTCGTTATCATCGTAATGCTGTGCTCTAAGCATGGCCAGCCATGCTCCAGCGAGATGGTGTGCTGGATCGAATAGATAGAGATCAGGTGGCGTCATGGGAGCCCGTGCACGTGGGGCGGGTTGATTTGGTGGATTAGCATTTTGTTGCGGATTCGGATTTTGCACATTGGCAGCCATATTGGCTGTTCGTCGATTAGCTGATCTACTTCGGGTGACGATAGGGTCGCGTCTATGCTCATTCCGAGGGCGAGGCCTCCCTCGGTTAGCCAGATCGCCTAATTAACGTGATATCAATCCTAAGACCCAACCACGTGTCGGGCTCCGATACCAACCTCACGCCCAACGCGACTTCCTGATCGGAGTGGGATGTGGGCCTGGAAGTGCAAAAAGGGGTGTGCCAAGGATTTTTGGGGAAAGTGGAGTCCCAGGTCATAACTAAGATCTCCTGTGACAGGGTCTTTCGGGGGCACGAGTGCAATTTGGAGAAGAGGTCGTTTTCGGGTTACAAGCGTGGTTCGCTCAGGACCGAGCGAGCCATTGGTTTCGAGGACGGCAGTTCAGGGGTTGGTCCCTTCGGGGTAGGTGGGGTTCCGATGACTTCGTCTATCGGGAGTTGCCACGTGGCGCTGGTCGTCGCAAGTGCGGGCTAGGCCTTTGGAACTCCGGGGTTCTTTGGTCGCCACGCCGTCGGCAGTTCCCGCAGGGTGTGCTGGGCCAATACGGGGCTATGGCCGGCCACGGAACGACGCTGAGTTGATGGTACGAAAGAAGAAGGCGAAAGGGAGGGAAACTGGTGGTGATGACGACAAATCTCGGGTGGATGAAGTAGTAGGTATGGTCCTGGGAAGGGAAATTAGAGCACTGGGGGTCGCTAGAGGTGGCGCAGTGGAATTCCCGAGGACATAATCGATTCTCGGTGTGGCAGGGATATCGCTGCCTTAGGATCTCGTTTATCCAGAGCGTGAAATAATTCAGGTCGTAGGATGAGTTAGAATTCCAGAATCGCATCATCGTGTCATTTCGGTATTATGGGCTACCTAAGGATGGGTCCGTGGCGATCGCGGTCATCGTGTGCGAGCACGTGCAGAACGCGCGAATGGCGTCGGACTTACGCGTGCTCGTGCAGGACGTCGGACTTACGCGTGCTCGTGCAGGACGATTGCGCCGTTGTGGATTTCAAGATAGCCACTCTCAATCGGACCGATTGAGGGCCCTGATGAGTCGACGCCCGAGGATACGTGTAAGTGCGCAACACAGATCGCGTTTTACATGTGTCCTCGCACGACGTTCACCGAGCTCGATATCTGAACGCCTAATCACTTCGTGATGTTCTGAGTTATGCAAGATGCAATGATCACAAAACAGCTCCATCCAAGGACAAACAAGCACACGGGCAGAATCATCACTTGCGCAAAATTTCTAGTTTATGCACGGGTGCATACACTACGTCGGACAAAAGAAAGGACAAGAGATTTCCCGCAAAAGGTAAACAAGCAAGTATAGCCTCCATACATTCGTATCCGTAGTAATCATACACACGAGGCCTCAAAGGCGAGGACCGAGATAAAAAACAACCGGAACTCGACATCCATTGGAATCGCAAAAACAAGTGTGAGCACAAAAATCCAAGTCCGGGTTTCGAAAAACAGAAAGGAAAAAAAAAAATGGGCGGATCGCCTGGGGCCGTATTCAAAACTTATATTCAAGAAGAGACAAAAGAAACAGCAACTCTGCATCCCTCAACCTCAACTCTCTCTCTCTCTCTCTTCTTCTCCGATGCGGACAGTCTGTCGTCGTTCACCAACCCATGAAGCCGTCACCCCGCTTAGTCCTCCCGCACCCGTCATGGCCCGCGTCAACCCCATGCGTTTGGCACCTGCTCGTCGGATCGCCCGATTCCTGCTCTACTCACCTCTTACTTTGCTCGTGTGCCGACCCTGCCTGATCGCGCAACCCCCAGCTTCCAACAGCAGGTTAAGAGCTAACTAATCGCGCAGCCGAAATTTATAGTGTGCATGCATGCGCGAAGAACACGAAATTACAAGGACTTAGAAGAAGGGAAGGGGGAGGAAATTGCCTACGTCTGCATGGTGTGATCGCGGCGTGGGGGACGTAGCCGCTCTCCACGCATCGATCCGATCATGCAGACCGCGGCTACCAAAAGCGCAGCAAAAGAAAGAGAAGGAGGGCGGGAAAGACGA